AACTTCCTGCCTCTGAGGCAGGGGGCTGGACTTGATGATCTTCAAGGTCCCTTCCAGCCCTAACGTCTACGAAATCTATTAAGTCTATGAAATCTTAATAATGCATCCCACACTTCACTGTCAATAATTTCTACCCCTGAGTTAATATCATTATACCTGTATTAAGGTTTTTAGCTAAAACTAAAAGCAGCCTTCAGGGGTGTGAAACAGAAGAGAGATAATACCAGGAATAGCTAACAGACAGGAAAACTGCAGGAGAAAGGATAACTTGATTAATGGAACACAAGAACCATAAAAAAAGGAGAAACTTAACACTTGTGGAGTAAAGCAAGATTATCAGGAAACAGATACAATGAGCACTCCCTCAGCACTGCCTGAATGGAAACGCTGCTGCCTCTCCCAGCAGCTGCCTTTGAAGTTTAGGTGGAGCAGGAATCAAAGGCGCAACAGGACCACAGCATACCCCCTGGATATACCCCAAGAGGTCAGTCACTGATATCATTGCTATAAAATCTAAACATGCAGGCTCCACTAATATCAAGGTACTGTAGTTTGTTTTTCTAAGGTTGATTTCTATCCTAAAGCCACAAGGCAAATTTTTCAAATTAAACTTTTCTTACTTCTCAGGTTCTTGTCCTGAATAGGAAAGCATCTCCCCACCATCTTCTTTTCCAGCCTTGAAGTCAAAGAGCATGATTGTGTCCATTTCAACATCATAGAAACAGATTTTGGAATCAAGGCTATCATCAGGCTATGCAAGAAAAAAAACAGGAGTTAAATCATGCAGTAGAAAAAACTGGCAAGGCAAAACTTAGATATACATTTATTTCATCCATGTTCCTATGGCTCAGTATACTAGAGACGATGAAAAAATCCTTCTTAGGAGGGAAAGGACAAGGAAGCCACTTCCAGTCCTACATTCCTATGTTCTTGTGTGTTTCTCCCATTGTTCCTCCAATTTTATAAATTCATAATTTTATAATGGACAGTGACCATTTAACATTGCCATAAAGTGGCATTTGTAGTCAACGTATGAAATGAAAAACTTTATTGTAGTGCTTCCATAGATGATAACACCAAAAAGATTCTGAATCTAGAGAATGATAATTCAACCCAAGGTAAATTTTACTTTCAGTTTCGCATTTGGTGTCATGTTCAGAACTCATGATGGTATGTCTCATGGTGGAGCCCTGCCTCACCTTGTTGATGAGGATGCTGACTTTGTTGCCATTAGCATTACACTTGACAGATGCTATTCTTCCAAGGCCAGGAAACAGCTCAGCCAAATTCTTGCTATTGCAGTGCACTTTTGCCTCTCTGCAGACAGACAGTATTGATTCATGTGGTCAAACAAGTTTCAATAATATAGTTTTTACTTACAGCAAAGACATATAATAATAAATCAAAAACCAGTATACAAGGTTCTCACAACATCTACTTTAGCAGATCTCTGTCCCAGATTTTGCCTTATTTCCTAGAGGGTTACTGCTATCTGTCTTACATTTATGAAGAAATTAATAAGCCATTCCACTCTTTTTTTCAGTGGCTTATTAAACTTAAAGTACCGGCAACTCAAAAATCCTGACGGCTTGCTTCAGAGGACTTAGTAATTCTACCCTAGAAAATTAACCAGCATAACCGTAGCAGAATAATCCACTGGGACCGGGGTAGGCAACTCCCAGCACGGGTGCCAGAGCATGGCATACAAAGGCATTTTGCTTGACCAGTGCACCTCAAGGCAGACAGTGGGGAAGTGGCCAGAGCTGCACTGCCACGACAAGGACTGGGCCCCTCGTGGCTCTCCCACCATCCGCCCATGGTATGCCAACATCTTACAAGTCGAGGTTGTGGGTGTTTTTGGCACTCTGTCCAGAAACATGGCTGACCCCTGCACTAGGGTTATGCAAGTATAACTATTCTGTGTGCAATCTAGGAATATTCTAGAATAAAAGGAAGGAACAGTGTCCATGCAAAGGAATTATACTGGCATACTGGTTTGTTGCTATCTATAAGTAACTGTAAATAAGCCTCAACCTTAGTCAAAGTTGAAGGCAGATCAACTAGATTTGGTAGGAGTCTACAAAAAGCAAGGTAAAACACACACACTCATTTTAAGATTTTTTTTCAGAAAAGGAAAACTAAACAAACCAAACATGAGTAGAGAGAGAGAGTTAGTTTTGTTAATCTCAGGTCAGGCAAAAGGGGAGATAGGGCAGCATCTCTGACGCTAACTGCTTCAGAGAGGCACAAGCTTTCATAGGCAACAGACAAGTGATGCATCTGATGAAGTAGGCTCTCTGAAGCAGTTAGTCTCTAAGGTTCCACCTTGCCCTGCCTTCTGGCTGTACTAGCCAAGGCAATTACCCCCAGATGAACACAAAAAGAGATGCAGGAAAAGGTACTGTCATTCCCAGTGCTGAACCTATCCTATGAATTCACAGAATCATAGAAAATTAGGATTGGAAGGGACCTCAGGAGGTCATCTAGTCTAACCTCCTGCTCAATGCAAGACCATTCCCAACTAAATCATCCCAGCCAAGGCTTCGTTTAGCTGGATCTTAAAAATCTCCAAGGATGAAGATTCCAAAATTTCTCTGGGTAACCTTTTCCAGTGCTTTACTACCCTCCTTGTGAGAGTTTTTCCTACTATCTAACCTAAACTTCCCTTGCTGCAACTTGAGACCATTGCTCCTTGTTCTGTCATCTGCCACCACTAAGACCACTCTAGCTCCATCCTCTTTGCAACCACCCTTCAGGTAGTTGAAGGCTGCTACTCATCCCACAACCCCTTGGTATTCTCTTTTCCAGACTGAACAAGCCCAGCTCCCTCTGCCTTTTCTCATAAATCATGTGCCCCGGCCCCCTAACCATTTTTGTTAATCTCCACTGGACTCTCCAATTTGTCTACATCCTTTCTGTAGTGGGGGGCCCAAAACTGGACACAGTACTCCAGATGTGGCCTCACCAGTGCTGAACAGAGGGGAAGAATTACTTCCTTCTACCTGGTGGCAACACTTCTAATAGTGCAGCCCAGTATGCTGTTAGGCTTCTTCACAACAAGGGCACACTGTTGGCTCACATTCAGTTTTTTGTCCACTGTAACCCCCAGCCAGTCCCCAGCCTGTACCGGTGTATGGGACCGTTCCAACCTAAGTGCAAGACTTTGCACTTGTCCTTGTTGAACCTCATGAGATTTCTTTTGGTCCAATTCTCCAATTTGTCTCAGTCTCTCTGAATCCTACCCTCCAGCATACCTACTACTCCCCCACCAGCTTGGTGTCATCTGCAAACTTGCTGAGGATGCACTCCATCCCATCTTCCAGGTTGTTAATGAAGATATTGAACAAACCCAGCCCCAGGACCAACCCCTGAGGCACTCCACTTTATACCAGCTGCCAGCTAGACAGTGAGCCATTGATTACTACCCTTTGAGCCTGACAATCCAGCCAGTTTTCTATCCACCCTACAGTTCATTCATCCAATCTGTACTTCCTTAGTTGGTTTGCAAGAATGTCATGGGAGACCATATTAAAAGCCTTGCTAAAGTCAAGGTATATCATGTCCACTGCTTTTTCAGCATCCACAAAGCCAGTCATCTTGTCATAGAAGGCAATCAGGTTGGTCAGGCATGACTTGCCCTTGGTGAATCCATGCTAAGTGTTCCTGATCACCTTGTCCTCCAAGTGATTAGAAATGGATTCCTTGAGGACCTGCTCCATGCTTTTTCCAAGGACTAAGTAAGGCTGACTGGTCTGTAGTTCCCCAGATCCTCCTCCTTCCCTTTCTTAAAGATGGGCACTATATTTGCTAGGGCACTGTGAAATTTTGCCGGCAGTTTCGTTTCGACGCTGTTTTGACTTGTTTCGAGCTCAAAACAGCAAAAAAAAATGAAACAGAGAGCTTCAAAACAGCCTCAAAATGAAATGAGGCAAGTCAAAACATTTAGAAAATTTCGAAACGTTTTGTTTTGAAGCTCAAGCTGGGCTTGCCTGCCAGGAAACAGAAACTAAAGTAAGGAAAGGGAGGGGGAAGGGGGGGAAGGAGTGCTCTCATTATGACTGTGTAGCTGGCCAGTGACTGTCATCCTTCCCTGAGGTTCCTTCCAATCCCAGTGCTCTGGGGGAAGGATGGAAAAACTGCATAAAAGGCAGCATTATTTGAACTGCCCTGCTTTCTGCCTTGGTGTCAGTTGAGTGAGGGCTCATCTTAACACACACACACACACACACACACACACACAGTGTCACCCACCCATGTCACGAGTTTTGCCTGTCAGCAGCCAGAGGTGCAGGGCCCCAAAACCCAGAAGCCCCTGCACCTATCTCCTTGAAACGTGGCAGGCTTTGTGGCCTCAGCAGGGGCTAGCAAGCCTGCAGTTTTGACCCCACTGTGGCTTAACACATACACATGACATGAGTTTTTTGCTTTCAAGACTTTGAGATGCAGTTTCCCTGACACCCCTGCACCTAACTCCTTGAAGATTGGCAGGCTTCATGCCCACAGACGGGGCTACCATGTCTGCAAGTTTCATCCAAATCAGGTCGGAAATGAGAATGTTATAGGCTGTTTCGAGCTTCCCCATTATAGCCTATGGGCAAAATGTCGAAACAGTGAAACTGTTTTGACGGAACGGAACGGAACGGAACGGAATGGAACGGAACGGAACAGCAGTTTCAAATCAAATCAAAACAAAATTCTAAATTAAACATTGTTCCGTCGAAACACAAGTCGAAATGGAATGGTGCCGTTTCGCACAGCCCTAATATTTGGCCTTTTCCAGCCACCTAGGACCTCTCCTGACCACCACGAGTTGTCAAAGATAATGGCCAGTGGCTCTGAAATCACATCAGCCAACTCTTTCAGCACCCTCAGGTGCATCACATCTGGCCCCATGGATTTGTATATGTCTGGCTTTTCTAAATAGTCCCTAACCTGTTCTTTTGCCAGTTGGCTGCTCACCTCCACCCCAAATTGTTCTGCCAAGTGCAGTAGTCTGGGAGCTGACCTTGCCTGTGGAGACTAAGGAAAAAAGGCATTGATGAGTTCAGCCTTTTCCATGTCATTTATCACCAGCTTGCCTCCCCATTCAGTAAAAGACCCACACTTTCCCTGACCTTCCTCTTGCTACTGATATCCTTGTAGAAATCCTTCTTGTTACCATTCACATCTCTTGCTAGCTGCAACTGCGCACTTACCTTCCTGATTTCATGCATGTCCAAGCAATACACTCTTATAGATAAATCCGAATATCTTCCCAAATATCATACAATGTATACAAAAAGACTAGCAAAGATTTGTTACAACATCTATCCAACAAAAAGAGAAGAAATGCAACCAATTACTATAGGAACAACTTTCCCAACCTCTAAACAACCATCAGAGAAACAACACTAATACTGTACAACGTTCCAATTACATACCCAGTTGAAGCTGAAGGAACCAGTCAACCCTCAAATATTATCAATCTCTCCATGCACATGCTTACCAAAACTGAAAAATCTGTCCTCTCTAAAGGCCTTAATTTCTGTTTGGAAAAATGCCCTATTAAGATACTACAGTGTGGAGAACTAGAAGATTTTTTCCGATGCCTCCACCTCAAGGAATATTTCCACAACCAAAACAAATCCACTTTCAACAACATTTCATCCTGTGACAACATTGAGGAAAAGATTAACACCAAAAAATCAAAAAAAACATCAGTTTGGACACCTCGCAGTGTATGAAATTTAAACCTCAACTGCTATGTTGACTTTTTCAGGGAAAGAATGAACTATGAAATAATCAACAACAAACACCACCGTAACAACCTCTCCCTGTCAGAGAGAAGGGCCATAGAATCTCTAAGATCCAACCATCAAATAGTAATAAAACCAGGAGATAAAGGGGAAGCTATAGTTACCCTTAACTGTGAAGACTACATAAAAGAAGTCAACAGACAACTCTCTGATACCTCCTATTATGAAAAACTAGAGGAAGATCCAACTCCCTTTGTCACCTTAAAACTCAAAACCACCAACAAATCATTTCCATCTGAACTGATCCCCCCAACTCAGAGCTGACTCTAGTGGGCTGCAGGGCTCCATTAACACTGTGCAGGGCACAGCAGTGCTGTAGCAATGAAATTTGGCACCCGGGGCCAAGCAGATCCCGCGCACCCTGGACTAGCCACTCTTCAGCAGACACAAAGCTAGCAGAGCGCAGCTGGATGCTTCTTCCGCAGTGCAGGGCTGAGCCACCAGCTCCAAGTGGGCCCCACGGGAGGGGCTGTGGCTGCTCCGCCCAGCTCCGCGGGGCCCCCCCAAACACAGGGCCCCCCAAAGCGCAGGGCCCAGGGTGGTCACCCAGATTTGCCCTACCCAAGGGACAGCTCTGCCCCCACTACGCAATCCAGGGACTTTTTACATGCTCCCTAAAATCCACAAACAAGGGAACCCAGGCAGACCTATAAATATCCAACCATGGAACCCTAACTGAGGAAACATCAGGTTTCATCAAATCCATCCTAAAAACTCTTGTGACCCAAAGACTGAGTTTTGTCTGAGACACAACAGACTTTCTTTGAAAACTTAAAAACATAAACAACCTTCCCAGCAATACCCTCCTCGCCACCATAGATGTTACCAGCTTATATACCACCATCCCACAACAGGATGGCCCCCAAGCCTGCCTTACATATCTTCAAGAGCAAGATTACAACTCAGAATACAGACCTAAAGATATTACTGAATTTATACACATCATCCTCACACATGACAACTTCAGTTTCAATAACCAACACTTCCTCCAGACCATGGGCACAGCTATGGGCACCAGAATGGCCCCCCAATATGCCAACCTTTTTATGGCCCACCTGGAAGACAAATTCCTCAAAAACTGTACCATCAAATCCATGCTATATCTAAGAGATATAGATGACATCTTCATCATTTGGACTGAAAAGCTACAGTCTGATTGATTTCCATTACAAATTCAATATTCATGACCTCTCTGCCAGACTCTCTCTTGAATATTCCAGTACCAACATTTCCTTTTTCGACACTATGAACAATATCCAGAATGATAAAATACAAACCACCATATACAAGAAACCCACAGACTAACATACATATCTACACAGAATCAGCAATCACCCTAAGCATACCAAGAAACCTGTATGTCACAGGGAAAAACAGAAGGGAGGCCCCAAAATACCAGGGGGGAGCCCTGGGGACAGGAACCCACAGAGGGGAATGGAGAAAAAAGCAAGGGTAAAGGGAAATACTTACCTGCAACGGGACCCGCAGCAAAGCCAGAACCCAAGGAGGAACCCGTGCGGATCGTCAGCCGCACCTTTATACAGCTGCAGCCAGCCGGTGATGTCAGCAGTGATCGCCGGCCGGAGGAAATAAAATGGGTCGCTGGCGGAAAGGAAGGAGGCAGAGGGGTGCTGGCAAGGGCACCAGCAGGAGGTGGCTGTTCAAACCTCCCATGGGAGCAAGGAGAGCTGAAGGCTGCTTTCCTCATCAGGGAAGAACCCTCCAGCACGAGCTGCAAGCCGGAGACTGCCGGCTGCAGTGGAAGGAGTCGAAAGCCGGAGGTGGCTCCCTACGGCCGGGAACCTGCCAGGTGTAGGAGCAGAAGGGCACAGAGAGACCTCGATGCAAGTGGCTATAACAGAGGGGCTGGAAAGGCCAACACAACTCCCTGCGCCAGACCAGGTGGGATTGTCGAGGGCAACGGAGAAGCCGGAGAGACATACAAAGTGGATGACGGGAGGCAAAGGCAGCATGAGGAGCTGCGAAGCACGGCCATCAGCAGCGTGACACCGACCAAGTAAGTAATTAGAGGACAGGCTCCCACTGAGGGACCACAGGGGGTTTGAAGACACAAAAGGCTGGATGTCAGGGAAGAAGAGTAGTGGGGGAGTCCACAGGCCACCCCAGCCACATACAGGGCTTAACCTAGACCCATTGTATCGAAGGCCAGATGGTCGGCAACTTAGCAGAAGGGCCCGGCAAAGGAACCATTGGATCCCTCGTAGTGTAATATTAGGTTTTCTTTGGGTTTTATGTTTCCCCCTTTTGGAGGGGCTGAAGATCGGAGCTCTTATTAGAGCCTTAGTGTTGGGTAAGCCCCGGGGTTGTTTTTTGGCCTTAGGGAAAAAAGTGGCAGTCGTGCAGCCCAGGCAGGGGACCTGAGGACGCCTTAGCAGTAGCAGGGAGATCTCCCCCTTACGAAAGTGATCAGGGGGCTCAACAGTCGGAAGCCTGCCCAGGAGGACAACCGTGACCCATCTAGGCGTGGTATAAGGGCGAGGTATAGGGGAGGTGGAGCCTTGCAGAAGATCGCCGGATAAACGTTCTGCTGTCTGGAAACCTGACGTGGTTGTACCCTCCACTGAAATAATATTCAAAGTCATGGCAGGCGAGATTGGGGAAGACCATATCGGAAGCAAACACCTTCTCGACGGACCACTGGGGACAGTAAGGCAAGCACCATTGAACTTGTGGGCCAGAGCTGCATGGGACTGGATGTTGGAGGCCAGGTGGGCACACTGTAATATACAGCCAAACCCTTCGATACCACTCGATTTGCACTGAGGAAAATACCAGCAAATTGTCAACTTGCAAATCTCAAAAGGGCTTTTGCCCAAAAAGGACACTCCTCTAGAGAGATACATCATACTTTTGAAAGAGTCACCTGGATACCACGTGAAGAATTTCTACAGTACAAAAAGAAAATCCCCATGAATTGCACACCATTGGTTATGACATACCATCCTTCCCTGGAACCTGTATGGAAAACCCTTAAACAACTACAACCCATAGTAGGAGACCCAATTCTTAAAGAGATCTTTCCGGAACCACCCATCCTAGCCTTTAAACAAGCACCGAATCTCACCAAATTCATCACTAGAAGCAAATTCTCTTTGGCTCAAAGCACATTAAATGGATCCAGACACGGGCAACTGGTTCTTCCTGGTGACTGACGCCACCGGAAAAACCGGACGTGCTGCTGGCATGTCTTAGGGGGGCACAGGCCAGCGCTCCCCACTCACCAACCAGCAAAGGCCAATTTCAGGGGGGGGGGCACAGGAGATCTCTCCAGTTGTTTCACTATGGCAATTTTCAGTGACATCCAAGTTTTCCAGGTGTCCTTACGTGATTACTGGTTTTCAATCTCTAACTCTCCTGTTTCCTCCATCTTTTACATTATAAGTTGCAAGGTATCTGCTAACAAGAACAAAAGACCCATCCTTAGGGCCAGGGAGGGACCACCGATTATTGGAGGCTTAAGGTAATCATAGAAATAATCGGTGGTCCCTCCCTGGCCCTAAGGATGGGTCTTTTGTTCTTGTGTGCTCTGCACATTACCTTAGGCCTCCAGTAAACTAATTTTTTTCACCTCTAAATTCACTCCAGACACTGAAACAGAAAAAGATCCCCATAAATCCATATTCATACCTGCGAGAAAGATCAAAGATTTTAAAGTGAGCCAAGTCAGTTCCCACAGCCAGAAAATTTCCACAGACATCCAAATGGCATGGATTCCCCTCTGCTTCAGAGAACACTAGCAGCTGCTTGACAGTGCCCTGGGGAAAGGGATTAAGCAGCAATTTTAAAATGTTCAGTTTTTGTCAATGAGTTTTTTCTTTCATCTTTAAGGTAGCACACCTACAACATCTCTCCTTTATCTCAACCACTACCAACTAAAGAACACCTTCCAGGAATATTTTGATTCTCTTCTGTCTAGGAACTACTAATGCAGTATCAATGAGTTAAAACAGACTTTTGTTTTCCTTTTGTTCCCTCTGTTAAGGTTGCCCTACCTGTGACCTGTGTTTCAGACCCAAAACTTAATGTATCCATAAAGATTCAATGCACAGACTACCCTTTCCTAAAGATAAGATCTACGAACAGAGAGAACTCCCCTGTAACAGGAGGCCTGCTCAGGGCCAATCTCTGTGGCCCACCCACCTGTTCTTGGGCCAACCGCCCACGTTCTCACCCGCCACGCCTTGATGTTAATTAGTTAATTAATAGATGTTAATTAAGTGGGAAGCTGCCCATTTACTGCCCCGATGCCAGGGGGCACTATCTGCGGCTTCATTCCTCCCCTACACTGCAGCCCAAGCCTCGCAGATGGCATCTACATGTTCTGATCAATCACCAGCCCCCACTGGGCCCCAGAATCCACCTATCAGGACCCCTCCAAGATCCCTCCATTCAGACGGCCTACCCTGCCTTCATTCAGGCTACCTAGCTCCCTGAAACTATTTTCCCCTCTCAGGCGTGGTCCCCCTGGGACCTTTGGCTACCAGCCCAGGCCCACCTCCAGGCTAGTCGGGACCCCAGGCCCCCAGCTCTTGGGCGTCCCTCATGGTGGGCCCCTGGCCCTTTTGACCATCCTGGTCCTGGCCCCAGCCTAGGCCAGTCGAGGGTACTCTCTCAATCAGGTCGGAGTCTCTAGCCCCTTTCTCTTTCCTGGGGTCTGCCCTCTGGGCCCTACACACAATGGGGTTACCCACCCAGTGGTGGGGGCTAGGAGCTAAGGCCCCCCGACCCGCCTTTCACCAGGGTGGTAACTGGCCTGGCATTTCCTAGGGGCTCCCATGCCACTGAGAGCCCCACCATAGTTTCATAGTAGCTAGGGTCAGGAGGGACCTGAACAGATCCTCTAGCCTGACCCCCTGCCACAGGCAGGAATGAAAACTGGGGTTAC